TTTGAAGAGTATATTATTGGTAATTTTTTTTATTAATTTTCAAGAAAACACATACCACATTTTTAAGAGAAAACGTTTAAAAAGTTAAAAAATATAAGAAAATTAACACATTTACAGTGCTACAACAATAAGAATACTTTAATAACACTCAAAAAAGAAGTTTTGTCTTTTTATATAAAGAACTATCTGTGCATACTAATTAATGATGTCAAGCATAGTTACCACAATATGTGATGTCACAATACATAGTTACCACAAGATGTAGTATCTTCCGACTGTGAAGAAATACACTAAGCGGAATCTCTCACACGAATTCAAAATGAAATTAGCAAACATATACCTAGCGTCAATAAAACCTATATATATATATATATTTATATGTATCACGATAATAATTGTTACCTTTATAATAGAAGCATTTTAAGACCATTATTACCGTAACACACTAAAATATCGCAAACTGGGCACGCGGAATTCAAACCAGCTGTGGTGGCAAAATTTTTTTTTTTATTTCACAGAATCAAAGGATGAATAAACTACTGCAAAATTTCATAAGCCGCCTATGTTGTATTGTATTCAGGACGCCTATTTCACACAAAATATTATGTTATAATCAAGTGGACCTTCCATATAAACTTCTATCTGCATAATAAGTTTATGAAAATATGCATTTAACCAACATTTAGATATTATCTACCACCTGTAGCACTTTCCCCTCAAACTAACAATAAATTGTTTATTGGAATTTTCTATTAAACGGAAACATTCTTGTCGCTGTAAAATACTCGATCAATATACCAATTGTTAATTTATAAGATAATTTAAGGCATACACCATTTAACCCCATATCGTTCTGCATGAAAAGACAATAAATTGCTTTTTGGATAAAACGGACACATACTTTTCTTTCGTTATTGTAGCTGTAATGAGTGTAAAATAATATACAAATTATTATTTTATATGGCCTATTTCTACTGATGATTAAAGTAATCAAGTACTGCAGAAATTTGCAACACGTTTTAACTTCCCATCTTTCCCCTCCTTTTTTCAGGCCTCACAAAACTAGTTAATGTTCTTGCGTAATTTGGTGTCACCTTTTAATCATGAATTTATGTCGTTTTTGATGAATTGCTAAGGTTGCCGCAAATTAGATGTGCAGAAGCTAGAAAGACCAAGATAGACTCTATAAAGCACAATTTACAGTCAATTTTTCTAAAGAAATTTTGCGCCTATTTGAAGAGAACACCACCGGACCCTGCAGGTTCATCATTTCTGCCTGTTTATTGTCTACCTGTGGTTATTATCGGTCTAGATGATACCATGGACGGACCGGGGGCCCAAGGTCCATGGGTTCCGATGGGATTCTCTTCTCACAGGCGCAAAATTTCTTTGAAAAACTGACTGAAAATGATGCTTTCTATGATATGTCGTGATGTTTTCAGCCTATGCACAAATTCTATGTCTGACAATCTTATCGGAAATTAATTTTTGAACCCCGTATTGAACTCAGTAACTCTGACATCTTTATTTTTCAAGGGAGATCCAAATGAACAAAAATCGCCATATTGGATTCTATTTTCATAGTTTTAAATTTACCTCATCTGGACTATTCATAATTAGTTTTGTGGATAGAAATTGAACTCTGCACCCATTAAACCCTTAGCCTATAGGCTATAAGACATATTGTACATGTCATATCTAACGGAAGTAAAAAATTTAATGACAATTAATTAAAATTCCGACATTTGGGATTTCATTTGTCATCATGGATTCTTGAATTTTATTTTGGAGATCAAAATTGTACCCAACGACACTGAAAACCATATAAATGACATATCCAATAGGAAAAAATTTAGCTTTAAATTCAGAGACGTCGAAGACCTTATAGCTAAAAGTCATTTTGCGAAATAGTTGTCATGAAAATACATTTTTTTGAGGGGGTTTCTTTTGGTCCAATTCGTTATTTCAGCACATTTCGCCCCTTATCGGGGGGGTTGGATGGCTGAATGGTTAGCGTGCGCGCGATGTATCATAAAGTCTGTGATTGAGTTGACTGGCGTGGTTTCGAATCCCTGGTTGTACGTGACAAGGAGTAGGGTCGCCTGTCCAACCTCGTGGGTTTTCGACGGGTCCTCCTGTTTCCTCCCACTGCTCAAGACCCCTATGCATAAGCGAATTATTGAAATAAAATTAAACCATATGTTAGTCCCGAAATGACCTAGTTTGTGTCGAGTGGACGTTAAACCCCATTTCTCTCTCTCTCTCTCCCCATATTGAATGTTAATTACATCATTTTGCCATGGCCGAATTTGAGTATGATGTTGTCTGATATATGTATCGTTGAACCAAACTTTATTGGTTTCTTTTGCAATTCGTTTTGGGGTAAAACGCTATTCCTCCCATCCTACACACAAGGCCACAGATCCCGGGGGGGCTTTTCACTGGGGGGGGGGGGGGGTTCATATGCCTCGTCCACCCCAGAAAAATGCATCGATAAAATTTAAAAAGTCTTATTTTCAGCCCGGGAAATGTAGCCTATATTTCCGAACATGCCGATGTGCAATGCCCAGAAATGGTCTCAGATAGCATTTTGAGGCATCCTAATTTTAAAAAATCTTCCGGGGGAGGCACCAAGACCCCCGCTAAATGTGCACCTGTAGCGCATGTGGCGTATGCCTTCGCCCGCCGTACTCTGTCGGCGTCGCCCAAACCTTGAGTCCTATTTTCAGGCTCAGGATATTTCCCCTTGGTTCAAAAATGCCCGGTCTTTGGTGTAACCCAGATCTGAGAATGATCTCTTCATGACCTCAGCAGCTTATGCTCAGAGCTGGCCACTTGAGAAATTATTTATCACATTTTCATCCGTGACCGGCAATTTAGTAGCCTACCTATAACCCTATATTGCGAGGACTTCTTTGATTAATCATTTCATATCATCTGTGGTTTACTGTTTATATTTATAAAGTTTAATAATAAATATTTTTAACTTTTGTAATATAACCAGTCCACCTGCACTCTAAGCCCTCATAACTACTTTTTACCGTATTCGTATTGATTTATTCTTGGTACGTTCATCTCTGCAGAATGCTCAGAAATTGTCTCAGATAGCGTTTTCAGGCATCCTGCTTTCAAAATTTTCTGGGAGAGGACCCCCAGAACCCCGCAGAACATTTTTTTTTTAAATCAGAGAATAATTGTGACCTCTAGACCTGTAGCTAAAAACCTCTAGACCTGTAGCTAAAAATGTGATTTTTTGTACAATCAGGGGCCATGATTCAGGAAGTTATGATCCGATATGCGCGAATGTCAACAGAAACCAAGATCTTTGGGTTATAAACTTACATTTCAAGTTTCATCAAAATCAGAAGAAAACTGTGACCTCTAGAGAGTCCACAACCTTGATATACCATATTATTACGCTATTTAAGTACGAGGGGCGGCCTTTTTGTCTGTCAGTTTTGGTCCGATTTTTACGAAATTCGAACTCAACTATCCTTAGGGTGTAACGGTGATATATTCAAATGGTTTTTTATTTCATAGATATTAAAAGAAAACTATAGCAGGTAAGGTCAAATTGAAATAACGTCGGCGGCCATCTTTGATTACGTCATAGGGGAATAACCTACCACATGGTGAGTGTCCACCCAAGTCCAAAATACTGACTAAGCTACCTACTAAACATTTCTTCAAAGAAATTCTCCCTACTCAAACTTTCCTACAGAACCAAAGTCAGATCCAGGACTATCTAACTAGTCCTAAACAAGATGGAGTCAGACTACCAATTATTTGCTAAAATATCATTAAATATCTGATAATGGTCTTCTAATTTTCCTTTCTTTTAAAAACTGTCCATTGGATCTTTCTGAAACTTCTGGTACAGGAAGTTAAGTTCTCATACCACTTGCTAAATGTACCCCGACAATGATCTGTAAACTGGAAGTAGTCGAAAAAATATCTTGATATTTTGAAAAAAAAAACAATAAAAAATTGGTACTCTTGCGAAAATCGCAATTTCTCCGTCAGATGTCACTGAATCAAAACAACTATGGTGGCCAAGCATGATTCTCATGCTGAAAGAATGTTTCCATATCACCATCTCTGTTCTGGCAAGAAACGTACAATCTAGAGAAGAGTTGAACATCTTTCCTCATGTTTGACACCTTGATTCTGTTTTTTTTAGAAGATGACTTCCTAATGCCACTGTCAAGTAAGGTGAAATTGTTCTTTGAGATGTTGTCATAAAACTTTGAGGAGGATTCTGTCAACCGTTCTTCTACAAATGTTTTATGTTGCTTCCTTCCAGCTGCTTCTGCTTTACGCACATTGTCAGCAACATCCTCACTCAAAATCACCCTTGTATCCAATTTCAGAAGGTCATTTGTGTCGTCTGAGAAAGGGTTGCCTTGATCTAATATGGTTGAAAAATTCATTTGCCTGTAAAATTTTAACTAAATGAAATTAGGCCTGCCTCCTGATCATTTTATGTTTAGGATACTATAGGCCTCCTATGTACAAAATATGAGCCTTTCTGCCACCAAGTATCAATTCTGAAAAAAAATGTTACCAAGCCGTTCCACTAAAAGTATAGTTTGGTAGTTCGATGGATCGGCTATTGTATGACACTCTTCCTGTCTGATTCCTGAAAGCCGGTTCAGTGCTGCTTGCAGGTCTAGTTAAAATTGTTCCTAAAATATTTTTGTGAAATACCACTATTTTAAGTTAAGATAAAATTTTAACTTAAAATATTATTTTAGTGGATTTTATCTAATATGCTTAAAATCGTTTTGTGAAATGCATCTATCTCAAGTTAGGATGAAATTTTACTTTAAGATGATTTTAAGGAGCTTTAAGTTTTTGTGAAAGAGGGCCCAGGGGTTGTCAAGAGTTCGTAATTCAATCAATGTTTTTTTATAGACCAAATTTTAAGTAACCAACATCATAAAAGACTGTATATATTGATAATCCATATTATATATAAAATGTTATTTTATGATATTCAGCCAAATGATGATAAAAAGGCTCAGGTGTTGGACGTTGACCTTACTAGACATCAAGTACGATATCTTGGGTGAGTTACAGGAGAAAAATTTATATTGTAATTTTTATACGGCCACCCATTGTTAGGGCGGAAATATTGTTTACATACCAGTCTCAGCGTCATTAATTACGTTCACCACAATACAACCGCTTGTATGCTCAATTATGAGAAGGTTTGCAAGAAATTTAAGAATGAATTTGTGAGAGGACCAGGCAAAAATTAATAAAAAGTGCTGAAGTGGGGGTTGGAAGTTTTCGAAGAGCAAAGCAACTCAAGATGGTAATTTTGTTCGAAAGAAAGCCCAAATTTGCATGTAATTTTGACCCAACTTCACTGTTAGTTTACGCACAACTCTGGACACCCATATAGTTTTGTTTTTTGTCTTGAATGATGCATCAGATTGTCGACTTTCAGACAAACATCCGTTTGATACGATCATTACCCTATCGGCCATTTTTTTGTGATTTAAAAAATATGCCTTTTATTCTATTTTTATACGCACACATTGAGTTAATATCTGATTGACTTTAAATTTATACACAGTGTATAAGGTCATGAGACGAAGAAGCCTATTAATTTTCAACAATTTCTTATAATTACTGACAGAGATATGGCCCTTGATCACTTTGAAAAATCTTGTCAACGCTCTAGAGGCTAAAGTTAATATACGATTGACTTAAAATATATACGCAGTGTTTAAGGTCATGAGACGAAAAAGCCTATTGATTTTCAACGATTTCCAATAATTACTGCCACAGTTATTGCCCTTGATCACTTTGAAATATCTTGTAGATGCTCTAGATGCTAAAGTTAAAATCTGATTGACTTTGAATTTATACACAGTGTTTAAGGTCGTTTGAGACCATAACTTCCAGGATTATGGCCCCTGATTGTACGAAAAATCACTTTTTTTTTCTTTGCTTGTTCTCTATCCATCTCTTACAAAATGTGGGTGTATCTTACCAGGCAACTGCTGGTTCTGAAAACCCTTGCATTGCTACCTTAATACTTCAGTGGTTTACTATGATAACACACCTGTGGGATAATTTAGTTTTATGTTGTTTATTGTGTTATTGTTAATAGTTCCAAAAAAGAAAGAGAAATGGGTGCTTATTGGAATGAGGCATTTATTTTTTATGTTGTATGTATCACTATACATATTTATATTTATAGCATACTTTGTTTATGGTTCTAGTTTAATGGAGAATGTACGGGTAAAAAGAGCAGGTTATGCATTCAGACAATCTTATGAAATATTTTTGTATCGCTATAAGATGTTGGCTAAAGAAACCTGGCCATTATGGAAAGGTGAACCCAAAGATGGTGCTAAGACAATACTAGAAAGTCAGATGATACCAACAGAAGAATATGCTTTTGGCAAATCAAAAATATTTATTCGAAATCCGAAGACGGTAAAGAATTACATTTCATTTTCATACGCTCACATTGAAATGTGGTCATATATTGTTGTCGCCCCCGTCGGTCGGTCGGTCCGGCACTTCGGCATCCAATATGTGAGTCGCTCCCACAATATCAGTCGCTTGTCGCAAGACGTCATTTTGTGCTACGGGCACAAAAGCATTGTTAACAATGAATTTTGGTCAAATTGTCGATTTTGAGATTGAGGTTGGAACATCAAGAAATACAAAAGAACTTTGTTATTTGAGAAGGATTTTGACGATCTGAAAACTGGAAATGGTGTTTTGGGGGTATTTTATGAGCCTACCTGATTAAAAAGGCCCAAGAAATGACGTCTATTCTGTGAAAAAATCGACAAAAGTAATCCAATGTTTTGAAAACGCACGCGGTGCTTGATGCTAATCTCCATACGTCATTTGAAAGGTCATGAACTTAACTTTCCATATTTGGAGTAAACAAAGGCAAATTCTTTGTCAGTAATGAATCAGAGTCAGTTTAACAAGATCAACCGTAGACCTTTTCAATGCCACGAATGGCTGACCTCCCGATGATAATACGCGATTTCATTGGCTTAAAGCTCTTGCACGCGCTCGATGTGTAACATGGGCATGCGCAACGAGGATGTAAACACAGATTTGTTGACTTGCCAATCTGTCAAATTCATCTTTTGTTCAATAGTTTTATGAATGAAAATTTCGTCATTTCGTATTAATATTAACTAAAAAGTTTGAAAAATGTCATCCAAGTCTAGACCCGCTGCCCATGTTGCACGACTCCTGAATTCAGCCAAGCAAATCGGTATTTAAGACGCCGGAATGATGAATTTCTACACGGTACTAGTACTACTGACACTGTATAGTAGTGTATCGGCGATGGCGGGTTCGATTTTTCTAAAGTACTAAACCTTCTATTTGATATTTAACATAACTATTGAAAAACGAAATCTTTATGTTAGGCCTATATATGATATTTTATAGCTTAAATGATTGAGACTGTTATAACCCCGCTCAAAAGGTTCACGCCGTGAAAGAGCTTGTTTACGTCACGTGACTTCGCGCTCACTTTTCCACCTGACTCGACTGATTACCGTAAGAACTATCCCTGCTTCTGCTCAATTTCTATGCATCTTGACAAATTTCTTATACAGATACTTTGATTTTCCAAAGGAATCATTGATTTTCTTATTGAAATACATTTTAATAAAGCAGAAGTATAAATAATGCCAACTAGGACATGAGAGATCCAATAAGTCGGAAGTGTCATTCAATTGTCATGTGGTCAGTGAACCGAAAAAAATCGCTACTTCAAGTATTTGGCTAAATAAATGGATTCTTTTTGGCATAGTACGTATGTTCTATAGTTAAATTAGTATTCTTGGACTAATGTAGATGTATTTTCAAGGAGGTATACGCTCGAATGAGTAAACACGAGTTTGCACCGGTAAATATCAGATCATTCCCGTAGCTAATACTTAATAGTAATAATTAGTATACGGTACATGTCTAAGAAAAGAACCCTGTACATCCAAGTGAAAGTATTAATAAAAGGAAATGTTTAATGCCTTCTTATTTATTTTGCTAAACTGATTTAAATCTTTTTCTTAAAATTAGAATGAATTTGATTTGTCAGATACACTTATTCTTTGGTGCTATAAAATTTGAGGCTTATATTAAAAATAATTATGTGTCATACAATGTAACTGAAATGTAATTGACCATTACATGATTTTTGGAACATAATTAATTCTATTACTCATTACTTTTAAAATCTCCCATTATCATTACGGCCTTTACATTCCATTACCATCACCCCAGCCCTGGCATACAGCTTAATACGAAAGAAATTTTGCCAGGATGGCTTTCTCTTATATTGAATTCCAACTGCCAAGGGATCTTTTACCCGCACGCCTATGTGTACACAGGACCTCGGTTTTCCATCCCACCCAAACGGCTAGACAGTCCTTGTCAGTCCCTTCATCCTGCACTACTGAAAAGGAGAAACCCTGCCGGAAAACCCTGATGAACTTTCTAGGTCATCACCGGGATCGAGCCGCGACTTCCAGGCTAGCAAGCCAACGTCTTACTCACTTAGTCATCGTGGCTCCCATTATAAAATGGTGATATGTCAAGGCTTATACCATGTTGAAGATAGGCCTATACATTAAATTTTTCTATTAATGGGAGTGATACAGATTTTATGGTTAGTGTAGATTTTGATAGTTTTGTGTTAATTTGTGATGCAAGTAAATTACTTGATTGTAATTGTAGATTTCAAACATACTTCAAAAACATATTAGCCTTTGACGGTTTGATAAGATGGGTGCACCGATTGCAATCACCGTACTGGTTGTTCGAGGCTGAGCCTCAATTCACCGTTTTTAACTTAATTCATTAAATTGTCGAACAATTTTTACATGTATGTACTGAAAATCCGACCCATAAAATGGCATCGAGAGTTGAATATGGTCTGGTCATGTAAATAAATATTTTATTAATAGTTTTTATAACACTTAAGGCCTAAAAAAAGACTTGCAATAGGTAGATTTAACACTTCCATAATACATGTTCTAAAACAAGATTCACAATAAATGGGTTTTAGTTCACAACATGCTATGCTATTGGCTTTAAATCCAAAATAAAAGAAGCATGTTTGTAATAGACTGTTTTTCCCGGTTTGGCCTTTTTTCTAAAATGTGACAAAAGTTGGAACCACGCCTTGGGTGTTGTCTTTGGTTTATACTATCAGAAAATCATGGGTTTAGATATCCAAATTAAAGGTTGCTAAGGATTATTGAGTGAAATTTCTTCTGAAAATGTCCCAAAACTTTGAAGTCCGTTTTCTCATTTTGACGTTTTTCCCATTTCGAAACACCCACAAACTTCAAAATATCATAAAATTCTTATCCCTGGTCCTAATTTAAAAAGAGTTACATTTTTGGAAAGCTCAGACTGTACACTATGCAAATATGCTATCAACTCATTTTTCATAAAAATGACCAAGAGACTGGTTTTGTGGGAGCAGCTCACATATAGGCTGAAGTTAATATCCGATTGACTTTAAATTTATACACAGTGTTTAAGGTCATGAGACGAAGAAGCCTATTGATTTTCAGTGATTTTCGATAATTACTGCAAGAGTTATGGCCCTTGATCACTTCAAAAAATCTTGTGGACGCTCTAGAGGTCAAAGTTAATATCCGATTAACTTTAAATTTATACACAGTGTTTAAGGTCATGAGACGAAGAAGCCTATTGATTTTCAGTGATTTTCAATAATTACTGTCAGAGTTATGGCCCTTGATCACTTCAAAAAATCTTGTGGACGCTCTAGAGGTCAAAGTTAATATCCGATTCACTTTAAATTTATACACAGTGTTTAAGGTCATGAGACGAAGAAACCTATTGATTTTCAGCGATTTCCGATAATTACTGTCAGAGTTATGGCCCTTGATCACTTTGAAAAATCTTGTGGACGCTCTAGAGGCTAAAGTTAATATCCGATTGACTTTCATTTTTATACGCCCACATTGAAATGTGGTCATATATTGTTGTCGCCCCCGTCCGTCCGGCGGTCAGTTAATATCCGATTGACATGCCAATATTGAGACAGCAGCCAAAATCTTTTAGAGATAAACCTATATTTCAAGTTTCGTCAAAATCAGATAAGAATTGTGACCTGTAGAGTGTCCACAAACAATTGTGGACGGACGTCCGGATGGACAGGGGCGACGACAATATACGTCCACATGAAAATGTGGGCGTATAAAAAAACATATTATTATATCACCGTTAAACCCTAAGGACGGCTGAGTTTGAATTTCATGAAAATCGGCCCAAAATGGCTGCTGTTTGTTCTCAAATATCGTAAAAATATGGTATATCAAGGTTGTTGACACTATAGATGTCACAATTTTTTTCCGATTTTCTTGAAACTTGAAATGTAAAATTATAACCCAAAGATCTCGGTTCCTTTTGATATTCGCACATAACAGACCGTAACTTTCTGAATTATGGCCCCTGATTGTACGGAAAATCACGTTTTTATCTTGTGGACCCTATAGAGGTCATAATTTTTATCCGATTTAAAAAATCGTATTATTCTATCACCGTTACACCGTAAGGATGGCTGAGTTTGAATTTCGTGAAAATCAGCCCAAAACTGACAGATAAAATGGCCGCCCTTTCCTTCTCAATTAGCGTAAAAATATGGTATATCAAGGTTGTGGACCCTATAGAGGTCACAATTTTTATCCGATTTTGTTGAAACTTGAAATGTAAGTTTATAACCCAAAGATCTCCCGCATATCAGACCGTAACTTCCTGAATTATGGCCCTTGATTGTAGGAAAAATCACTTTCGTGTTAGCTTGTTCTCTATCCATCTCTCGAAAATGTGGGCGTATTCTGCCCGGCAGCCGCTGGTTTATTTTTTGATAGAAACTTGTCGCTTAAGTACCATCTGGCTATTAAACGATATAAAGCTTTAACTAATCGGAAAAAACACAATTGGTACATCGCATTTTCCGCACCCATTTTTCTGAATTTTGTCAAAGTTCGGATACATTTCTTGACTACTTCCGGTGATTCAATTGTTTTTATTTATGTTTAAGGGCTGGATTATACTCTCGACTTTATATTCCTGAAGTTTCATAAAAATCGTTGGAGCCGTTTTAGAGTTATTGAATTTTGACTAAAACTCGCCAAAATTGGACAAAATCAAACTCCGAATTTCAAAACAAAACTTATATCGCTGGAATCGGATTGATGTCAGCTATTCCAAAATGTAATCAGAATTTCAAAATTCTAAAAAATAAAAAAAATAAAAAATTTTGAACATTTTCCAATATTCACCGAAAAAATCAAAGCAACAAAGTTTTAAAATTCGACGCTTTTGAACTGCTATCTACTCAGAAATGTCTCCGGCTATCCAAAAATGTAAATATCAGAAAAATCGGTTGAGAATTAACAGAATTGTGTTCGATTTTCAATTTGCGT